CATCAGGTTATCATCAGGACATAGGCTTGCATGGTATATACAATCAATCTGAAATTAACCTGTCCAAAGGAAAAAAGGGGGATGTTGGAATCATAAAGATGGGATGAAGAAAAACCAAAGTGAATCGTGCTAGATGAGCCGTTTTTTTGTTCAAAACCAGCAGTGTTATTAATAAAGGCCATCTAAGTTTATTGCCTGCTATAAGTCTCTGGAAATGCCTAAATTAGAAATGTCATGCCTCATTAGCATATGAAGCTCCTGCTTTTGAAACAGCAGCATTCCACAGAAAGTGGGTTGATATCTATTAATTTAAAACTTGGGATAAAAATTATGAGAGCAGCACCATTAAAATTGAATGCTGCTTCACCTACTCAATTAAATTAAGATTGCCACTGAACACAACCTTCAGTGTTTATCACTTTCAATACTAAATTAAAGTTTTCATGGAAATGAGTGTCACCACCAGATCTAACTCTTGTAGCAGCATGCATGAGTTAAGAAGCCCACATTATCAGAGTTAGCAATTTCACCATTAACAAACAATGTGATACTACACATAGTAATAATGAATCCAATGATCAATGTGGTGAACTCAAAGCTAACAGCTATGATTTCTTTATTAATAATGTATTTTATGTAAATGTAATTACTTGTACCATGTGCTCATTCTTACTGTTCTAGAACATTCTAATTTGTGTAGGTGCATACACATATATATATTCTATCCTTCCATGTTTTTGTTCAGTTCTTGTTCTTTTGTTCTTTGTTCTGTGCTTGGTCCCTTCTGGCTCTGTTTCTTCTCTTCTTTATATTGTTTGTGTTTGGAGTGATTGCCAACCGTTTGTGCTAATCATTTTATTTATTCAGTGTATTTAACACATTCTCATTGCTAATTCTACGCTCCAGACATAACAATCAACTGATGGCTTCCTTTGGAATGAATACAAATAAGCTCAAAAATTCCCTTGAAGTGTCTTGATTCAAAAGGAAGGCTAATGGAGTCTGCATGATTATCAGACAATTATGTAAGACTAGCCATAAAAAGTTAAAGACGAAAAACTCCATACAACACACTGATGAAACAGTTCAAAGATTTTATATACTTTCCCTTTATTGTTCTGTTGCTCCAGGCATTGTCCCATGGTTTCCACTATAAACTAAAGTTTTTGTGAGAAAAGGCAACCTGGAATTTCTTATAATGCAATAGTGCATGCACTGTCAGTCCAGGTGCATTAACAACTGGCAACGTAAAACCAAAATGCATGAGTTGTATCTGTCCTCAAAGAGTACCCTATAGCCCAGTAGCAATTAAGCGGCCTCAAAGGGATGGGAAAGAAGCAATTAATGCATGTGAAGGGTTGTCATATATTTGCTTAGCCATTTGTGGAATTCCAATCTCACATCATGCACATATATAGATCATATGCTTGTAGCGACTAATGCTTGTAAGATTATTAATTCCACATCATGGCAAGGCTTCCTATATGACAATGTATTGTTCAAAGACAGAAACTCTTAAGGCAGTGACTAGATGCTGACTATAGAGCTAGCACAATATAAGATGACATCCACTGGGACTCCCCTGCTCTATCTTTGAACAGCTATGTATTCTAGTTCATGAATTTCATTTTGTTTTAGATATATATATATACCTTATAGAATAAAATAAATGGTGCATGAACATACTGTGTACCCCATACCTATTATTGGAGATTGTCAATAATGCAGATGACAGTTAAGACAAAAGGAATGTCAATTAGCACAATGTCACTGCAATCACCCAGCCAAAGCTGTCTGCCATAGAGTTCTCTATAAAACTATCTCAATAATGTTGAGACACTGCCCCTTTAAAATCTGTTTTAGGGCTACAAGAACCAATCATAATACCATTAAGTCTAGTGGATATCTCCACTAATATATATATTGGAATTCAGTAATAGGTATAGTACTAATAATAAATGCATAGGTTAGTTATAAATATATAAAGCTAACCCTAGTTGCTTTGAACTACTGAGCTCTATTACATGCAGATCTAGAATAGAGGGATCCACCTAGAAATTTCACTCAGTGCTCCTGTCATATATTATGAGGAGCAACAACAGCTAAGAATTGCTATCCCTCAGTCAGTACATGCATAGATCCTTGCATGAGAGTAGGAGAAAAGTGTTGCTTTTTCCATAGCCCTCTATAATATCACCACCTGGGCAACATATATCAATCTGCTCAGTTCTCCATAAAAGCATGGTCTAGCCTCATTATGTTGTATGGTGGTGAGACCTTCCAGTTGCAAAAATACAGTTGTAATAAAGACTACTGAGATCTGATGTAAAGTTGGAGATGGTGTCTAAATAACCTCCAATATTTTGAATAATAAAGCAATCCACCTAATCTGCAGTCCTTTGAGATTCATGGCCAGCTCATATACAAGTTGCTCCTCTAGTTCTTGGCCACTGTTATCATCCCCAAAAATTTTTCATTGATACAGGTCTATAACTTACCTAAAGGAGTCTGCATGGTAATGAGGGGGTGTGTCATGAAGAAGTCCATAGACAGATACAGATAAGTCGAAGTTCTCCCATGCCATATAAATATAGGTCACATACTTCCAGGCTGAATTAAGGCTAAAGATAAGATTCAGTAGACAAAGGATGAGCATTTTCCACCCTGATCATAATGGCTAGGGCTCCAGCAGTCACTGTTATAGGCGACATCCTCTATAATTGAGATAAAGTACCTTCTAAGATGGAAATATAGAAGGAAGGTACATCATCATTGAATGACCATAATACTATATATATTAGATTAAAATAAAATGTTGACCATCAATGCTCATTTTTTAGCACTGACAAAATGTGTAGTTTTAACATGCTACATTCAATTAATGACACACTTTCCATTGTTCATAACAGCACCTTTGTGTGCTAAAATAATGTGCTACAATTGAGGTACCAAAATGGAAGGTCTTGTAATGAGAAACCGAATGCTAGGCAAGAGTCCCATGTATGTCCTTTGATATAAGAATCTATAATATTATACCTGTCTTCAAGGGGAAGAACACTCTCTGATCTCATATAAGTCCCAACAATGAATGCTTGCATCGTGAGCAAATTATAATACTGCAGGCAGTCTCTATAGTTCCCATCATACCCATGGCTGACTCCGAGACAAAGTCTATATACAGGAATGCCAATGGGTATATCATGGCATCAGGTGGCTATTAGAGCCGTTGCCCTGAGCCAGCGAGCTGATAGACTATGAGGTCATCTGATGGATCAAGTCAATAATGAGGACCAGTCTAAAACAGGCTCATTCAATGGTTCAGCAAGTATAGCTGGAACCAGGGAACTGATAATCACTCAATGAAGAGGATTATAATACTACTGAGATCTATAATAAATAGTCTAGTCCCCATCAGACCCCTGGCTGACTCTAAAATTATAGGAGGGCCATTGGGTCCATCATGGCATTTGGGGTGGAGGCTATTATAAGAGCCAATGACCCTAGCCAGTGAGCTGACAGACTATGAGGTCCTCTGATGGAGTCAATAATGAGGACCAGTCTAGGACTATACAGTTCAGCAAGTGAAGCTGGAACCAGGGAACTGCTGAATAAGAGGAAGAGGTGATTGACCATCATTTATCCCAAGCGTTGCATATCTCCTCCAATCTCCAACCAAAACTTGGTCAAAAGACGTAAGACATCTTCAACAACCACAGTAGAATCAAAACAGGACCCACTATGTCCATGCTAACAAGCTCAGAGCAAACAATAAGTAGCTCGTTACCCACCTTCTTCTCCAGATTCGTGAAAATTTTAAGGCCAATGTGGCAGATCACACGAGTAGCTTATATATATTTGTTAAAACTTTAAAATTACTACAGATTTCAGTAGATAATCTGCCAAATACATGTACATTGTCATATAGGAAGCCTTGCCATTATATGGAACTGGAAATACCCCCACAGAGAAAGAGTCCTCAGTCAAATATGAACAAGAATAATGTAACTACATAAATTAAATGTGCATACATGTACAGTACATATTAATTAAAATCACAGGGCAGAATTGGATAATCTGTTCTTCATTATTTTTGCAACTTAATTATAAATTTCAAAAAGTCTTATCAAAAAGAAAATTAGTAAATTATCCAACTGTGGGAAATATCCAATCTATAACATGTGATCTTAACATTTATGTACAATCCAGTATACTTACTCTATTTATTAGGTTCACATTAGCTCCTGCAGACAACAAAATTTGTACCACATCATGATATCCTCCTCTTGCAGCAACATGAAGAGAAGAAGATCCAAACTATAAGAAACAGAAGAAAACATTTTCACATGTCAGTCTATTACAAAAACATAAAGTACTTGTAACAGACCAATTTAACTTAACAAATAACACACACCAAAATGACAAAAATTAATCACTTAAATACAAATCAGTCACAAAGAGCAAGAGGCTACATTATGTTATACAAATGACAAAGATAAGGCTAGCCTCATAACCAGCTCAAAGGACAAGTAACAACAGTAAAGTCTAATAAGAAAACAGCATAAATCATTAAATTCACACACATTCTATTTACGCCCAACAATACATGCTATTACATAACATACATGTACACTAATTACATTAACACTAACATTATCAAGTCTCATGGGTCTTTCACAGCAGTGTACTACATACACTTTTAGCAAAACTGAAAATATTGGCAGGATAAAATTGCAACTGATAGATTTTATAATAGCAGTTTCTCACAAAACAATCTGCCAATATTAACTCTTTATACTAATATTTCTACAGTGATCAGTGTTATTATGTATGTACTACACAAATTGTACATCAACGGCATTGTACCAAGTGAATTGTGAAATGACACAACAAAATATACATGCATGTACCTGACCCATGTCCAATGGCAGTAGCAATATCAACAAAAAAGCATGCTGTAAATGTACATGTAAATGTATGCATATACTGCAGTAGTTACCTCTTTAGGATTATGATAGTTTACATTAGCTCCTTGAGACAGTGCAGACTGGACACCAGTAGAATCACCTCTTTCAGCAGCTTCATATAACTCCTTATTCTACAATGAATCATACAGTAAGTTAAAAAAAACAGTCAGTTAAATACTGTACAGTCAGGAATATTGATGGCCGAGTTATATTTGGCAATTTGCTAAAAATTTATAATTGACAAATTTTATATTGGCAATAATTCTAGTGGCTGCATGTGGTCAGGATGAACTAAAATTGCAGATTTTACTCTGGTGGTTGCTTATATCACACCTTCCCTGCCAATATTTTCAGCTGTATGGTACTTGTCATGAAGTGGAGCTAGTCAATTTTTCCTATCATTATTACTACTAAGTTCTTATTGGGTCCAGCACCATATACAGTAGGCCATTTAATATCTCACTCACTTAAGGCTGATTCACACTGCAAAATTAACGTGAGGTAAGGCTATATGTTAAGACAAGAAGTACTGTATTAACCAATGGCCACCATTTACGGAAGGTAAGAATAGAAAATATAGAAAATAGTTAATTAAAATAGTTAATAGAAAATAGTTAATTTTGCAGTGTGAATTGGCCTTTACTCTATCTAAATCATAATACAGTATAGACACTAAAGCTAAACATTCCTATTATACATTATAGCTATAGCTATGATGGGAATGGTAAAAGTAATAAAATGGCTAAAAACAAAATAGATACATTTGTATGTGGCTGCTAATAATATACCAAGATTACCAACTCACGTGAATTGAAGCAATTGGATAATCTTCAATTAATAACTGTACAATCTCATGATGTCTTTTACTTGCAGCTAGAACTAGAGCAGTCTTTCCTAACTATAAAAATGAGACCATAAATAACGTAAAAGTGTGTAATTACTACAGTGTAGCTGTTAAAATTTCATTTAGCTCTGTGCCTCATACAAGTACTGTATTTCCTTAAATAAAAGCCCGGGCGTCTATTTCCTAAAATGGTATTTGGACCTTGAAAAAAATTTTTTTTAATAAAAAAAACTTTGGCCCAAAGCAGGATTCAAACCCATGACCACATGCACTTAACTTCAGGAACTTCAAGCAGTATCCACAAGACTACTGACTTACTTCAAGGATAGATTTACGTATTTATACTTGAATTCTATTGCCACCCTGGCATTTATTTGCATGTGGCTTCTATTTAGGAATATACGGTGTATGTACATACAGTGTACATGTGAACAATCAATAGCTTCAATAATTACTAAGTACATGTATATTTTTACATTTTTAT